AACCTTTGTTTCACAAAGTCTTCAACATACAGCTCGCATTTTTGAGCCATCTCGCACTCTCGTCTGACGTGCGGGTTGGGAAACTACGGTCCCCCGCAACGGCCCGCACCTGCCACCAAGGCGTCATTCTCTGGCACGGCATCCAAGGCGTCCACACGTCGCTCCAGGCGCAACGTGGGCAAACGTCCCAAACCCCGCGTCCTGAGACGGGACGGGGCAGCCACATGCTTGAGGATGAGAACGAGGGGACAGGGCAGGACTGTGCACCATGTGGTTGTCTTTGATATAGAGATACATGATTTTTTACATAATTAGATGTATATACGTACAGCAAAATGCATGCTTCATGAATACATCCGCATTCTTCACAGTGTGAGTGAAACACTGTCCATCACGGGTTACCAATGTTGTACACCAACGGGTTTTGCTGAAGCCGCCCCCTTTCACAGATTCTCTTTCAAAGGACCAACGGATCTGCTATGATCTACTGTGATCGGGAAGTCAAGAAAAATTATCCCTTCATGAAACACCCGGAAGCCATATGTCCTTTCACCATCTAAGAGAGGTAATTTAAGTGACCTGATGGCATAGGGATACCTACGGGATAGTCTATAGGATCCTTCAACCTCTGTTGGATTCAGATACCCCCCTGGTTCCTCAGTTCCTGACCCCTCTTCTAGGAGTACGTATCTTAAGCTCAGTGACCTGACACTGACCTGAAAACGCTGAAAAAGTGCCCGAAACCCAAGACTTGAAAGAAACCTCACAAAGTTCGCAAAGTTCATCTCAAGGACTGAAGAAACGCAATTTTTTCTTGACGCGACCGGACCTGTGTCCAAACCAGGAACCTGCGACGTGTGCATGGATTTGTCTCACCCATAACACCCAAACCCTGTGCTTGATCTCTCAAACTTGTTCTCCAAGCAACTGAAACAGCCTGACCTGGCAAAAGAGTGAGTTGTTTTGACTTGAGTTGCTCCAAAGACCCTGCACAAATCACGTTGAACATAGACATGCTGGAGAATATGTATCAAAAAACACGACCGCCATGACATGACCCCTTATTGGACAGATCTTGTGCCAAACAGAGAAAGTTGGAAAGTCTGCAAGCTTGAAACCCGGGTGTTTGCTGTGTTTTTGTTTTCCCAGCGATGGTTGGGGAGTAAAGCACATAGTTTTTTGGGTGTTGACATGCTTTGACCAAGCTCCTTTGGCTTCAAGGCATTCTTGTGTGATCCCTGCTACCCCAGGGGGTGGGGGGGTCGGACCCCCAACAGAAAATTGATTATCCATTTTTGACCGTGATGATGCATTAGCAACGGTCTAGATCCAGTGATATTCAGTGTCGTCCATAGCACCAGCCTGCACTTACCCAACCTGTTTTGCACTTTCTGCATCATATTTTGCATCGTTTGGGTTGTGTTTTTGATCTTTTGGCGTCATCTTTTTGGTCTCTTTTGGGCTGCGTCCTGTTTCTGGTCGAGAACAAAAAAAGCATTGCATAGGGGTCCAGGTATCTGGTATTTCGAAGTGCAAAACAAGCGAGCGTTGGGTTGTATATCTTGTTACATCGAGCGTTAAATCAAAGAAACAGACCTTGATTTACATTGCGTGGACGCGTTGCCTAATACACTGCATGGACGCGTTGCTTACGCCCGCGGGGCGTAAGCGATGCGGACCCTCAGGGAGCTCCGAGCAGTGGGACCGCGTTGCCGTCCAAAAGGTCGCGTTGCTTACGCCCGCGGGGCGTAAGCGATGCTCCTTGTTTTTCTTGATTTTTGGCTACATTCAAAGCAAGACCATCATATTCAATCATGCCAGCATGGTCAAGTGAATTCAGGCGGTTCACACGATCTTGGCACTTTTTTTTTCTTTCCCTGTGTCTTAATCTACTGCCCAAGCGGAAAGCCATCAAAAGTCTTGAATCTGGTGGGCACCCTGGCATCTCCATGCTCAGACTTGTATTCAGTGAGCTTGCTGAAGCCTCTTTCCCATTCAACCGCGTCGCTTGTCAAAATTTCTCGGGGCCACGCGGAGATAAAACTGGAAACATGTTGGCTGTGTAAATGGAATATTAAAATGGAATTCCTAAAGGTACACCCCCCTCGATCCTCCATTTTCGAGGAGGGGGGATCTTGTGTGTGTGCTGAGACTAGAACAACTCAGGGTGCTAAAACATGCCAAAACAGCGCCTTCCCAAAGCATGGCCTCTTCCCCAATTCCCAAGTTGATCAAGTTGCTGTCCTTGCCTAAATGTCTTGAGGCGTTTAAACGATAGCAAAACTTGATGTCATCCTAAGACCAAGGTGCATAGACTGTTTGAGGGGGTTCACTTCAAACGGTATTCAACCAACCCCCCTTGGGTGACCCCACATCACACCGGGTGGGGCAGCTACTTGGGTCGTGATTGGAAACCAGCAGTGACAACCCGTGACCGTAAAGAATGCACTGGTGGAGTCCCGTTTCCCAAGATGCAATGGACTGCCAAATGTCTTCAATACTCAGTTTCTTGAAGGTATGAAATTCGTATGAAGAAGCAGGTCAGGTCTGCTGTCGAAGCACTGGATACTCAGGTCCGGCGCCGCAATGTATTCGACTATATGGCCATATCTGGTAATCTCTTACATGAGGATTAAGGGGAAGAACTAACAAATCACATACTATCACATTAAAAAAATACGAAAAAGAAAACAACACATTCAGAATGCTTCAGAATGCTTCAGATCTCTTCATCTCGTGTAGGAACTCAAAGACACCACGGCCCAAAAAGGCCCAAAGCGGCTGCCTCCGTCTCGTCTCGTCTCGTCTCCAGCGGCTGTCCGGCCTCGTTGGAGCGCCGTGAGGCCGCCACGAGGAGCTTCGCGTCGGCACGGAGCGCCGTGACCTCGAAGCCCAGCTCCAGGTGCAGCGTGCCTCGTCCCAGGCGCCTGGAGAGCGGAAGCGCCCAGCGCAGCTCGGCGGAACCGCAGGAACCGCTCAGCGGAACGAGCCCTTCACCGGAAAAAGGCCCCACTTCGTTTATGGCTGCGGAGGGCGGGTGCAAGGGATTTGGCAGGATGGGGGGTGGTGAAGCGGGGAAAAGAGAAGGGTAGAAGTAGAAGGCTGCAAGTTGGGGTGAGGAATGGGACGAAAGCCCTTCTCAGCTCAGAATTGTAACTCAAGTTTGTCTGTACGGCTGGTAATTGTGTTGAGACGTTTTAAATAAGACATGTTCACTCTACTTTCGGTGGGTTTTCAAACCTAGAGTCTAGATTCCGAAAAAAAATAACACAAACAAAACGTTGCAACACATGATGAGATATATAAAAATATCCTGTGTTAAATTAATCCGATTTGTGCGGCCACCAGCTTCCACTTTGCCAGGCGCTCCGCGTATGGGGTGCCTTTCATCACCGTTTGAACGACCCCCTCCGACCGCCATGCCGAGCGCTCCGTGCCGAGCGGTTTGGACATGACGGTCGCGCCCCTCATATGACACCTGCTCCGATTCTGGTCGGTACCGGGGTTTAAGACATGTCATAATATGTCAAGTTAATCCTGGCGTTGGCCCCACAACCCATTTCCAATCAGAAGAGCGTCATGTTTCTGTTGTTCATTGCAGGCTATGATAATTCCTCGAACACTTGCCTTGAAACTGTTCTGGGTAATTACCTTGCCTTCGCATGTTCAAGTTATCTATACGATTACTAGTAATCACTGTGTCTGTCTCTGTATGTGGTGTGCGAAGAACATGAAGAACATGTTTTGCCCCCTTCGCGAGCGTCTTCTTCGAATTTGCTGTACGATCACGGAGGGTATTTCAGCGTCGATTGGTGGCACATGTTTCTCGGTGGAAACCTGTAGCGAGCCAATGCGAAGCCTTGGCAAAAACCTGTGGATGACTCTCTGGATGTGAATGTTGCTGTGTGCGATATGTGCAGTCGCAGTGGCAACAACATAGATGACACTTGCAAATCAATGTGCACATGTCCAATCTACCACCTTGAACCTTGATGTCATTTGCGCTACAACATGCAGGAAGGCCAACCTCTCATGTTTGATGCAGGCTATAATTAAAGGGCTTCTAAAGATTGAAAAGCATACCTCACCAACACACCTGCATCCATCACACTGCACGCACTGGCGAGACCGCTTCCGACCAGCTGCTTTTTGGTCCATCTCTTCTGATCTACTCTGCATCCCTAAGCTGCACCTTGGCATGCTCTCTTGGAGCACAGAGATGAGAGACGACTCTTTTCACTCTTAAAGTCCTACCACCTGGGACGACCTAATCCACCCATGAATCCTCCAGGATTTCGTGGTGGGCAGTCGACTGTACCAGGTTGCTTGGTTTCTGCATGTTTGAATCAGCGGCTTCAGCGGTTTGTTGGTGCGGCTTCAGCAAAAGGATGCGAAGATTCGAGCCCCAACCGCTTATGAACTCCGCGGTCTTTTGGCGCTGAAACCCCTGTGGAACCCCTGGATGTTTCAATAAGCGAGTGACGAGTACACGTGCCACCCAAAACTAACATGTGCACAAACAAGTTCTGCAAACACCATGGAAAGATTTCCGGAACAGGGCTTTTGCTGAACCCTTCCGCTCGCCCGAAAAGCGTTTCAACAGCCCCTTTGAGGCGACCCTTTGACTGAACTAAAAACGGCTCATAACTCCCCAGAGTCAGATCATGATCAAGCATTTGTCAGGAACTCTCTCGCGTTCGCGTTCCCATGCCCGCAACTCATCCTCGGCTGGTCACATTGGGCGAGGGGACAATACGCTTGGCACCTTTTCATGAACAATGTCATCAAACTCTGTTTCTGAATAGAATCATTCCCCTTGCTTGTGGGAATATTGTATAATTTATATATAAACCGTTAAACAATTCAATGTTAAACAAAATAAGACTCTCCACCAGGCCACGAATGCCTCTCTCAACCTGGACGCTGGATTTCTGCTGTGTGCGCCCGCCCTCTACACTGGAAAGGCGGTCTATAGAGCAAGGGTGATGAGATGCGAGAGATCATCTGGGCCTCGGAGGCTTTTGCAAATCCATCCGCGAAATCGGAGTCCCAGAAATTCGACGGAATACGATAAACCGTGAAACACTCCATGGCACTGCCATAGTTGCTGGGGGGTCAATGTAGGCAGCCACTATGGCAGCCCCATGGAGTGTTTGAGGTAGGGAACGAACAGAAAGAATCCAGTTGGTTCCCTCATCCCCAGTAGGTCGCAGAAATTGGGCCTTCCTTGGGTCCTTCACTCACCGGCCTTGATGTCCAAACTCTTGAAACGGCCCAGGACGTGTGAGGAACCAGAAAAATGGCGGATGAGCCTGAAAACCAAACCTGCAAACCTGCGGTGTGTGAGGTGGTGACTCCAGTCTAGGAACTTCGGTGCCAAGTAGTCTTTGCACTTCGGACTTGTTCCAGAAATCGGTCATCTCTCACAGTCCGACTGCGCGACTCGCCGTTGCGACTCCGTGCCGAGGCGTTTTCGGATTCCACATCGGCCGACTCCCTCCGACTCCGTGCGTTCCCTTGGCTGCTCCCAGCAGCTCGTTCAGCACTCACCCCAGGTCACCCCGGTCAGACCGGTCAGGTCCAGATGGTCCGTCGGCCCGTCGTGGATGAACCTCTTTGGACCATCCCGGATGGTACATCCAGTCGATGGATGGATGGAGAAACGTATGTTGAACGAAAACAGCGCCGGTGTCTTAGAATGCAACACACATACTGTAAGAGTCATGACCAACCTACATCATGATGTAGTTACCCCCATAGGTACTTTGCATGAACAAAGGTTGGCTTCTCCAAGGCATTGGAACATCATCAACATCATCTGTCTAAAGAATGCTCAATAACATCTCATAATATCATAAGTCACAGGAAAAAAAACATATTCGATACAGATCCATACAGATCCTCACGACCTTCTTTCTCGCGGCTTCTCGTACCGCGATCTCCACTGGCTTCGGTACCGCGTTTTCCCCTCGGAGATCGATCGCCCCCGATGTTCCACGCTCGGCCGAGGCGCCGGGAAACGTTCACCGGGTTCGCTGAGGCGGCCTGTCCGCCGAGGCCAAACGAAAAACCTCACTCCCTTGAAGAAAGGTGATTTCGAACCATATGTATTAAAAACACACACACCAACAAGAGCTGGCCCAAGAGTCACCACTTGCGATTCCGAGTCCAAGAGAACTCGGAACTTTTGCCACTTCCGCGTCCGTCCCCGTGTCCTGTCCCTACTTCCAGGCGGCGGCTGAAAGAATGAACCAAAGGTCGCTGAACGGCCAAAACAGGCTGGACAACATTTAGAATATATATATAGGGTACCGGTGATATAGGACTTGTCGCTACCAGTGAATTAGGATTAGCGGTTCCTACATGACATATTAATAATATATATATATATAAATATAATTAGCTCAAATGAGTTCTGCTCCCTGAAACCATCTTCTGCCAACCTGAATAGATGGCGGCCCGGCCCGGCGCCCGGAGTCCGGAGCGCTTTCCGAAGACTTCCGAAGACCCAAAACAGGTGGTGAATTCATTCACTCCACCTCACCGTGAACGCTCAGGTGGTGAACGCGCATGGCGATAGGGTGGTTTTTCACTCCTCTCCGCCGCTCCCGCCTCCGCGCGCAAGGTCTTCAAGACGTCGCCAGCGCCAGGGAGGAGGTTGAGAAGCGCCGCTCGTTCATGGCAAAAGTCAGAGATCAGGCCGAAGAAACCGGGGTGGGATAAGGACTGCATGAAGCTTCTCTGCCTCTTGTCGGGCTTCACCATCTTCTTGTGTGTAAGGTGGCAACAAGGACAATCAGCGCCGCTCTTGCAGTTTCCTCATGGGAAAGGGAAGGAAGAGAAAGCACCCCAGAAGTCAGCTATATTGATTGCAAACATCCGCGATTTTGTTCTGTCACGGAGGAGAACATTGTTTTTTCTTTTACCCAAACCATGTGAAGACATATCTGTCAAATTTGTCTACTGTGTGAGTCCGGGTCATAGCATCAGGAACCTGACCCCTCAATGTCGGTTAGAAAAAAACAACAGGTTGACGTTGCTATGTTAACTTTCACTACATGAATCATACTACATCAACCAACAAATTACTAAAGATTCACTTTGGGGGCCAAGTGCTCCTTTGTGACCAGGGTCTTGACGGGGTCTGAGGCCTCTTGGCCCTCTGGTGCCTAGGAACCATCCTTCCAAAAAACATGCACAACACTGAATCCAGTTACCACAAATGTTGACAGTTGATGAATCAAATCTCTCGTCTCCAAAATGGTTTTACATCTATTTAAAAACTGCATTAGACTATACAGTAGATGACTATAGTAGGTCGATCGAGCCAACGGACTCTTCCAGAACAGAGTGAGATTGGAATCCACTGGGATATGGATATCACTGGGTAGTAGAGAGCTGGACATCAGGAAGCTGGATGGCTGGATGGGAACAGGAAAACCATCGGCTTCCAGGACACATCGGAGAACACGTTTCGTGTGGACCTCGATTGGTTCAGTTCTCCACCGCCCAGGGCGACCCCGAATAGGGGCTTCGGCCGGTCGCGAGTCACTGGGTCCGGTTCCCGAAATGCTTTGGATCCCTCCTGCCATCAAGAAGATGCAGGGCCTGCAAAGCTCCGGGTGTCCGCTAATCCTCCTCGCCATCTCTGAGTGGTTCACTCGCTCCGGTCCACTGGGAGCGAGTCCAGGAGAGCGGTCTCCCGATCAGACTTGGAGAGGTTCTAGAGCTGCAGATAGGTTTGCAAGCTCTCCTACGTTGGGTAGGAGAGATAATGAAGAAGCACATACACATTCCAGGGTGCTGAATTGCAAGAGTCATCTCGGGTCGGGTCTTATAGCCACCCCTTAGAAACTCCGCTTTGCATTTTGATGCAGCTTTTATGAACTGTTTCACTGGTCGGGGGCGAAGGCCCAAGAGCCTTTATAGACTAAACTGGATTGAACTGGTTGGTTCAACGCAGCGACATGAAGAAGCTGGCAAGCTCTGGCTCTGAGGATTCGCCATGTCGATCTTCCAAAAAAACTGTGATTTCCTAACTCTGATTGTACCATGGGCTGAAATCGGCTCCTCTTCCTGCAAGAATTCCTCAACCTGGACCATCTTTGACATCCTGGGTGGCAAACTTCTGGCTCGTCGCTCAAGAGTGGCTGGTTTTGTGGGAATCTCATCCTCTGCATCAATGAAGCTGTTCCTGTACTTCAATGTCAAAGCCATCTGAGACCGGGCTTTCAGGAAAAGCCGCAAGTGGCGAATCACATCGTTTGCCTTGAAGCCAAAAGGTCTTCGTTTACCGGGGCCGCCGGCAAAAACCGACCCAACAGAACACTGACACTTCTCCAGTCTGGACAACATACTTCTCGTGCAATAGTGCAACATTGTTATCAAAGTCTGTAATCCTGCTAACTTCTTTACTTTCTGTTCAGTGCTGCAATCCTGGCCCCCACTTCCAAAGGCAAACATTTGTGGTCCCCAGGTTCTTTCCCACTCTCTTTGTGCCATTGTAGCCAAACGACTTCACCGGTTAAACCTGGGGTCGTTGTTGAGATGTGTCCCAGAACATCAGAATCCGGGCACAGCTGATCGGTCACGCCTGGTTTCACACTTTGGAGATCCAGGCATCTCCGCCGCCTTTGGCCGTCCCGAACCGGAAACGGACGAGGATGGCTCCGGGACACACACACACACACGTCCGTGCGAGCCATAAGTAGCACGGACCCCGAAGCTGAGTGACCGAAGGTGTGGCAAGCAGTAGCAAGCACTCAAAATCTGTCCTTACTTCTATAAACAGTCTAAACATGTCTAAACATATTATCAACTGGGTTATAGGCAAACTGAGTGCAATAGAAAGGTTGCATCATGCATCGATGATCCTGTATGCCTATGAGTCTATGGCTATTGATATGTCCGGACAAACACCACGAGTGTGATATTTTTCACTCAGTTCCCATAACTTTTTGTGGCTTCCTTCACTTCCCAAACACTCGGCCTAGGTTGAGTCAAGAAGTTCAACACTTGGTCCAAACCAGTGACACCAAAGACTTGTAGACTCCCGATGCGTAAAACTTCCATTTTAATGGAAAAAGCTCTTGGGGGATTATTTTACAGCAACTGCACCAAACCATGGAAGTTTTCACTCCGAATTGGACACACACACACACATGATGGGGCTGCCATCTCAAGAAACCTGCGCCTCCGGCGAGGGGTACGGCCCCTGCTTCGGAGTGGCGAACTTGCCCGGGCAGCTTTGAGTTGCCTTGGTGTGCGAGGGAACGTGCTGAGTGCATGGTTCCAATATGTAACTGGGAGGAGGCAAAGAAGGCAAACAGGAGAGTGGTCGGAAAGAGAAATGGTATTAGGATATGAAGACACTGCAAGAAACGTAATCGTTTTGTGAGGTTTATTCATGTCTTGTCTCCTCATTAACACCGCGGAGATAGCGTTCTTCCCTAATCTTTATACCTAAATCATTGACATGTAACACACAAACCTGCTGATTCACCGATACTTGAAGATTGACAACAGGTGCCTAACCCCACTAACCCTGCCCGACCCCACCGATCCTTTCACGGATTCCATCTGACCAGTGCAGAACGTTCTCGCCCGCAGCCATTCGGTCTCAGGACGCTGTGCCGCTCCGTTCCGCTCCGTTCTTTTCCGTACCCAGGTCCCAGGTCACCGAGCGACCGGGAGGGGGCTGTGGACTCCGTGGATCGGGTGATGGTCACCAGGTTGGACCGGGCGACAGTCCCTGGAACTGGTTGGACCGAATACTCACCTCTTGGGTGTTTGAACCATGGTCCTCCGAGTCGAACCGTGCTTATGCCACCCACGAAGTGCCACGGCCGAGATTGATGTCAGGGAGTCGAGTACGCTCCGAGTACTGAAGCTATGACTGGACCCACCAGTGACCCTTCAATGCAATTGAAACGAAGGTACTTGGAGCGCTAGAATACCCAATTGGCGCTAGAAGAGCCCCGGCCAAGCGGTGGTTGGGTGAAATGTTCTTTGCGACCAAGGTGCCGCCCAGCACAAGCGATAGAGCTGTAGCTGCTGGGCCAGTGAGGTAAACTCCTTCAAAGGGTCCTGGCGAAAACAACACGATGAGTACATCACCCTCTCAGGGTGACAGGAAGTCAACGGATGCTGAGCCTTTGATCGGATCCTTCAAAGGGTCATGAGTCATGACCATGAGGTAAAGTTTCATCCCAAGTAGTGACTGAGTACACCCTTCTGGCACATGTTTACAGCCTTCTGGACCATCCTCCCCACGGTCGACTCCGTGTCTGACATGGTAAAAGAAGCTAGCTGGCGGACCTCATCATCATGGCGAACCTTGGCCAGGCTGGGCCATTCAGTCCATTCGCTCTTCGCAAGCCTGAGCAAGTCCAGCTTCGGCGTCAGCACAACGACGGACACGGTGGGGACACCGGTCGCACACGATGCCAGGAGCAAGCAGGAGCTTGCGCAGGTCGACCGGTGTCCGGAACACCGAGTTCCAACATGTTCCACCATCGATCGGCTAGAGCTGAGGCCCCATGACCCATGACCCTCCAGGTTCATGAGTTCGAAGTGGATACGACATGGAAGTACTTGGACAATCTTGGTTACATTGGAGGCTGAAGAACTTGGTGGATCTTGTTTGGCACAGGTTGCATGGGCCCTGGATGATCATCATGCCTGTGAGAGCTTAATTATAAGTTCACCCCCCCCCAACCCTGTAGGGTAGAGGGTTGCTATGTATAGTCAAGTATAGTAAGTAGTCCATTTGCAAAAAATCACTGTTTCACAGTTTCACCACAGTCTTCGCAGAAATTATTACCCCCACAACCCACATAGGGAAAAATAGCACACATGGGTGTACTTTAATGGGGAGATCTCTCTCAGCCCGTGGTCCGATGATGATCTGCCAAAATCAAGTACAGTATAGTCCCCATTAAGAATAAGTGACATATAGTGACATTAATACCCATCTACCCATCCTCAATCCAACCACACAACATTAGAATTCTGAGAACCCGTCACATTCACTCAGAAAGTTCAGGACAATCAAGCTTCTTTGTGTGTAAGACCCTCCTGCAAATGGCCAGAATAGATTATATATGATAATGATTATACATAGTTGTATAACTCACTCAATTCTGTAGTGTTGGTTCATGATGACAACTGAAAGTGTTTTATAGTGCCATGATGAGCAGCCGAGACCAGGATTCTGCAGAGTCCATGCTAGTTTTCGGGAAATGTTTTGTGTTTTCATCTGTTTTGCATTCTTTGTTTTCCCATTCACATCCCCAAGGGTTGGCCACTTAAGGAGGTGTGAGGCCACGGCCGCAGAAACAGTGCGAAGCAAGCATGACGGAGAAACGAACTGCGCTCATGACAGAAATAATCATGCAACTGGAACAGCACCTGTTAAACAGGGAAAAGGTCATCCTAGGAAAATGGTCAGACCCCGATTGTTCCCACTGCTGCAGCAATGGCCGAGTGGCATTTGCCAAAGTTTCTTCTCGCCGAGGCTGCTCTTCCACATGCTGCGAGAGCTGGACAGCATTGCCACAGCAGTTCCTGGATGGAAAGCGGCGCAAGCACCACATGTTGTATAACATGGCCAGGTTGGGACGATATATAATAGGGGGTGCAATAGAAAGAGTCACCCCACTCCCCTCCCCCACAAAAATCATTCCAAGGAGTGGATGTCACCAAACAGAATCCTAAAGTGATTGAAATCATGGCAGGGGGGTTGATGGCCTTGATCATCTTAGTTGCAAAGGTCTTTGAGGTCCGCTAATTGAGAAACATCCATGTATATCGAGAGAAAGAGAGAGAGAGAAAAACAAAAACATAACACGGAAAAAAAAGCGGAGAGAAAACAAATCCGTCGGCCACGGTTCTCCACCGGCGCTCCGCGCACTGGCACGCCGGCCCGGTGAGTATCTGCCACTCAAATGTGGGTGACGCACCGAATCAAAGAGCCTCTTCCAGTGAATGGTTCAGCCAACTCAACCACCCAATACAACCCCCAACTCTGAACCTCGACTTCCCTGGCCTCTCATGGAAGCTGCCCAAAACCCGTCCTGAGATGACGCAGGGGTCCTGCAAGTGTTGGAGCACGTGCTCCCAAACGTTTCCGGGCCTCAGGCGATGTTCACCGACGCACGCAGTCACGCAGCCAAGGCAGGGTAGGCCTGGGTTGAGATAGGAATCATGTGGTGAGAGTTTTATTGAAAGGAGTTCTCCCTTGATCAAAGGTGTTCTGTTTCTTGCTGACAAAACATCTCCTTCTTGATCTTTCAAACCATACGACACACATATCTCATGATCTCCCCCCGCCCCTTGCCACTCTTTGCCCCCCCAAAAAGGATCAACAGGTGGAGGTTGAAGTGGAGGGACAAACCAGAACCATCTTGATTCCAATCCAAGTTAGGTGGCAACCCATAAGGAACTGCCACCGCTGCACCTCCGCAAGAATTGCCCCTGTGGAAGTGTTCCTCCGAGGAACCATTCCATCATGAACTCGGCAGCTGTGGTCCCGGGTGTCGCTCGAGCTGAGGAGGTGCCTCGAGCTGCGTGAAGTTCCATGCCCAGCCAAACGCTCCGCGCCGCTGTGTGGGAAGTGGGATGGGGCCTAAACCTATATATGAAATGTATGGAAATGGTGGGGATACATATTAAATAGATTTATGAATAGTATCAGTATAGGGCCTACATTCACCACCCAAAACCATCAAATGTAATTATCGGATATTATCGGCCACATTGGCATCGGATGGAGCGTCGCTCGGCCACCTTGGCGATTTCAGGCATTTTCCCGTGGATCCGACCATCACTCAGTGGGGTTGCAGTCATCTGGGACCGATTCTGCAAACCCTGGGGGTGTAGCACCTGAAAAACGGGGGTCACCAATGGAAGACCCTACACTACAAATTGATCTCCATTGGATATTCCTTGGAAGGCCCAGGGTTATAATGACAAAAAAAAACATGGATGCTTTATAATCTTTACAGGGGTCAAGAGTAATGCATCACTCTGAAAACGTAGAATCGCATAGGCTAGCTGCAAAAAGATCCAGAAAACTACGCGCTTATCACCGAACTTATCTCCAGTAGCCACCAAGAGGTTGGTGACGTCGTCGTCGAGTGGGAGGAGTCTCGAATGGAGACACAGAATTGCTGGAACCTGAAATCCTTGTTTAAACATGTAAAAAATAAACAATAGCTCAGTACCGCCATCCAATCCATCATACTCCGCTAATTACGGGTAATTACGTGAAGCAGCAGCCCTGTGGATCCTGTGCAACGTCAAGGCTGCTGAAGTTTTCACGGCTCGATCCAGCTGGGCATGGTCTTCGCCACACTCAAGGCAAGACCCCTGCAGTGCCTTTCACGGCTCGGGTCCGACGGTGAGCGGCGCTCGTCTTCGCACCGCGAAGACCGGTCGAGCGAAAAGCGAAGGGCCTCCGTGCATAGACAGAAAGGACTCCCAAAGCCTCGTGTTCGGGGCAAGGCGGGGCGTGGACCAAGGTTGGAGGGGATGTGTGGAGCACATCCTGACAGGATGTGGCTGTTGGAATCCGTTGGACGTGGTCTGAAAAACGAATTCAGACCATTGACCATCCTCTTGTAAACTGCTGAGACCACCGTTGCGTGGCAAGCTAAAGGCAGCACAGGCCAGGGGTTCAGATCAATCACAAAACACAGGCCAAATATGCCGATGTCGCGCAACAGAATGCAACATGCAACACCAGTGTGTCAGACCATTTCCTTTGGTCTAATATATGGTGCCAACCATGGCCAACCCAAATTGAGCTAAGAAGCTGATGTGTCGCAGCACGCCCCACATGGCGGCACCAAACCACTTCCCCTGCACGGTGGTGCACGGTCCACGTGGACGATACGTGGGACGGTCAGGTCGTCCGGGCAACCGCTGGTCAGTTGGGAAGTCAAAAGGGACATGTGTGGTGTGTTGAGACTTGCCATGAGACTCTTTTTGGAGGGCGAAACGGAAGTGACTGAAAGAGATCTCACCGAGTTCCCCTGAAACCTCCCTCCCAAGACCCAGCTTTACCCACCTTGGCCTACACTCCCGAAACTCACATAGACCCTGACTGTCTGACCCCCCTGGAAGATGGTTTTCCTCTACCAACCAGTGGTTTTCAGGGTCCATCTTGGTCTTCCATGGGGTATGTTACATCGCCCATTCCAAACTCCTCGTGCTCCTCTTCATCCTCTTCTCGTTTGTCTTACCAGAATCGCCCAACAACTCCAAGCCATCGCCAAACACCGTGGGCTCTCAAACTCCCAAACATCACACCATCACACAAAAGTAATCTTCCGACCCCCCATCCTTCATCCAAACAACCTCAAACCCGCCATTCCCAGCTTCCCCACCCCGCCACCCCACGCCCCAACCGCCTGCCCGGCCCAAGCTCGCCCCTCCACGCCACTGGGCCTTGGTAAAGCACACAGGCTACCGTCTGGAGCAAGGCGTGGCGCGCGGTGGGCGACGGCGCCGAGTCCAGCAGTGCGAAGAGCTTCGTGGTGTCCAGCGCCTGGCGCCGTGCGGAGCTCCGTGCGGCCGTGCGTCCAGGCGGCAGGTGGGAGGCATGCTGACCTTCCAATGCGGTTGAGCTGTCCGTTCCGATTTTTTTATTACGAGAATGAAGAGTCAGCCTCAAAGGATTCTAAAAGGATATCTACTGGACCAGCGGACATGTTCTGGAAGTGGACTTTGGACTTGAGCTAGTTCCGGCGTTTTTGTGAAGGTTGCTTGCAGTGAGTCCTGAAACTCATTGCAAGATGGTCAGAAAGAGGATCCAACTCTGCTGACTGACCAGGGTGACCACCAAGGCTGACTGACCCTGTCCTCCACGAAGGGCACGTGGCTGCCGTTGCTGACCAAAGGTGCAGACCCCGAGCGCCAACGCAAGGGCGTGACGTGTTGGTAGCGGCCTGGGCGGAAGACGGGTCGGCGCCCACTGGACCAGCGGCAGCAATGGGACATTCGTGTGGTTCAAGAACATGTTTGGAGAAAACAAGTAAATCAATCTGTATCACTGTATTTGCAATATTGATAGTATAACTGAAATGTAATATATGTGTATATAGTTGTAGCAGTATCAGTATCACATGATTATGTGTGTCTGAATCTGAGACCCCCTACACCAGTGATGTGGGGTTGGACCCGTTTTCCCCAGAAACTAACGATGTTTGGAGGTTCCCCTCGTCGACTTGCTCAACGTCGACTTGCTCAACGCTTCTCCATCAACAGCGATCTGGTCCCTAAACCCGTTGACCACCGCTGGCTCCAAGTGTAGAAGAGTCCGCTTCTAGGGATCAGTACACGGGGGCCAACGCCTACGCGTGAAAAGAAAACATGCCTACGAGCCTACGAGTGAAAACACTCCTCTGCAGGTCAACATGGTCAACAAACCAAGTGCAAATACTGTAGTATATTATTACCTAAATATGTTGAACCACACCTGAACAAGTGGGGTATTATATGGTATTATTACCTATCCATAACAGTTGAAACACACACCTGAAGAGTTTGAGTTACTTGGGGTTTTCTTTGACCCTCGGTGCTTCACCCCATCACCTCTGACTCCATGGCTCGCCCTGTTGGACTCCCCGCAGTTCTGGCCGTACCTGAGTGCAGGACGTCGGTGATCGTACCGATGTTTTTGGTTCGATCGTCATGTAAGCTATTGATGAACAAACCTGCCCATTTGAAACACCTCTTCATATGGGGGTAATTAATCAAGAGTGTTGAACATACAGGCACCAGCACCAGAATTGTGAGGATGGTGTGACATTCGATACCATGAATGCACAGGCTGACTTTGAAAACCTTGGAGCCAGGTTGCAGCAAGTCGCTCTCCAATCATACCTAGAAGGTCCAAATTGCCGACATATATATATATATATATATGCCTCGGACTCAAAAAAGGCACCTCTTGTCCATCCGCCGGCGGATTTGGACTTGTGAGAATGTTGCAAGGGTGTATTTGCTCGGTTGGCGGTGTTTTCGACGCAATTTTTGCTGACCTGTGGCAGCCTGCTCATTTGAAACCATTGACGGCCCAAAGCTGGTTTTGCTCCCTGTCCATGCTGGTTTCAGGTGCACCTCCCCTTTGGCCAAACTGCTTGGCACTTCTTGCACAAGTTTAAGGATTTGCAGGTTTTCTGGGAGGTTTTGTCAACGTAACCACCTGTACCAAAAAGATCGAACAAATATGGGCATGAGTGAAGCAACTTGCAGGATTTGTCAAAGTTGAACAAACAGGTGCTCTTCCAAAACAGGCAGCTAAATAGCGGGAAACAGGATGCTTTTGGAGGCTCCACTCACAACAATGTGTGACTCAAAATGACTTGTAAATGATTCATAATGATTTATGAAAAGGGGATGTGTGACTTAATGACTTACTGCCTGAATGACTTAATGACTTCAATGACTTAATGACCTAATGACTTTAATGACTTCAATGGCTTCAATATGACTTAATGACTTCAGGGACTTAATGCCTTAATGACTTCAATGACTTAATGACTTGATGACTTAATGGCTTAACGACTTAATGACTTAAAGACTTAATGGCTTAATGCCTTAATGACTTCATGACTTAATGGTTTAAAAGGGCGTAATGACTTAATGCCTTCATGACTTCAATGACTTAATGCATTGATGATTTAATGGCTTAACGACTTAATGACTTAAATACTTAATGGCTTAATGGCTTAATGACTTAATGGCTTAATGACTTAATGGTTTAATGACTTAATGACATAATGGCTAAATGGCTTAATGACTTAAGGGCTTAATTACTTAATGGCTTAAGGGCTTATTGACTTCATGACTTAAGGGCTTAACGGCTTCATGCCTTAATGACTTAATGGCTAAATGGCTCAATGACTTAATGGCTTGAGGCGTTTACTTTGGGTTATGTCCAAACAAACTCATTTTAGTTGCCTAACTTGTCTAGTCACAACCCCTTTCGCTTCCCAACCCTCAATACAATTGCTCCTAAACCTGCTTGCAGCTCATTCTCAAGATCCCTGCTTATTTCCCAAAGTCAATGTCCCACAGGTCATACATTAGCAGCTTCTTTTCCCGCAAAAGCGACCACTAGTTCCTGCGTATTTGCGCACCATCATTCACTTGAGAGGAGGGAGACACGAAAGGTAGGACAGCGGGAAGAGAAGAGAACGCGAGAGGCAGGAACAAAAATGCAATGTTCGACATGGTGATTTATCCCCTCGGAGGCGACCTTTCGTAAATATATGTTCATATGCACTCTAAATGTTCAAACATATGCTCTCGAAATGTTCAAAAAGATTCTTAGGAAAACAAACTTGCCCCATGGCTCAGATCATCGGTGAGCATTGAATCGGAACATCATAGGATTTGAACTATCCTGAAACCATAAGAGGCTCACGAAGACGCTCGCCAGGAGAGAATTGACGTGCTTCACAAAACAAACTCTAGGTATGTATCCCCTCGGGGAACACCTTTCGTGATTAGAATTTCATGTTCACTCTTTCTGAATGTTCAAGAGGGTTCAACTATCCTGAAATCATGAGAGGCTCACGAAGACGTTCTCCAGGAGAGAATTGATTTTAGAGGGGGGGAGG